AAATCAAATCACCAGGCTTGCTTAGGTTGTGGCAGCCACCAGCATGGCACCTCAGGAACTGGGTCACGCCGGCTAAAATGCCCAGCATGGGGAAAAACATGTAGTAATTGAAGCCCAATCACCTATTGAGGGTATGCCGGGCTAAGAAACTGGCTCAAGCGGTCAGGGAAAGCCTAGAGGCTAATGAAGCCGCCATGGACACACTTATCGCCCACATCACATTCAATCAAACGACAGGCACGTATACATCTAAAGACACAGGCCAGGTAAGGGAAATTGATGCATATGTTGTTCCATTCTCGCCAAAACCGGATCCCAGACAAATTAAGAATATCCCCAGAAATCACAGCACTAGGATGACAATCTTTCCTGACAGTGGGGCCACCATATGTCTCGGGGACTTAAGCACCTTCTGAATATGGGGCTCACTATCAACAACCTCATTCCATCAAGAAAAGTCGTCCGAGCTGTGGGAGGCTTTACGCTTGTATGTCAGGGTTGGCTCCCCGTGGAATTCATCGTCCAAGGAAGAACAACTAAACAAGCCCTATACATATGCAAAAAGATTCAGCGGCTATACTTCAGCAAAAGCAGCCTGCATTGATGTAGGGATACTGTCCAAAGACTTCCCGAAGCCGACAACTACAATATTACCCCAAACAACAATGCAACACATGCCCTCGACAAGCACACATAAAAAATCGGACGTAAGCCCTAAACAATGCAAAGTCGAGGGACAACTTCCAACACGCTCCCAAAACTCCTTTTCCCCAACAGAACAAAACATTGATAGGCTCAAGAATTGGCTTTTGAATCAATTTGCCGAAACGGCGTTCAAGAACAATGGTGAATTCCACCGCTGTCTGGCCCCACTGCACATATACACCTCAAAGAAGGAGCAGTCCCCAAAGCCAGACATAACCCAATTCCTGTGCCTTTTCACTTCAAAGAGCCCGTAAGACAGGCCCTTTGGGAAGATGTGAAAAGGGGTGTCATAACCCCAGTACCCGTTGGCATACCCACTGATTGGTGTAGCACTATGGTAATTACCGCCAAGAAAAATGGCAAACCACGAAGAACCATAGACTACCAACACTTGAATTCACAGTGCAAACGGGAAACACACCATACAGGGTCACCATTCCAGCTAGCACTACAAGTGCCACCTAAGCAAAAAAAAACAGTGTTGGATGCTGTTGATGGATATCCTCCATCCCCTTAGATAAAGAGTCCCAGCCACTCACCACCTTCATCACAGAAGGGGAAGGTTCATGTACCTGAGAATGCCACAAGGTTACCTAGCATCTGGCGATGCCTACACCCGAAGGTATGATGAAATAATAAAAGACATCCCCGCAAAGTAAAAATCGTGGATGACACCCTACTCTATGACTCTGACATCGAAGGAGCCTTTTTCACACCTTCGATTTTCTCCCTCCATTGTGCAAAAAACGGCATCGTAATAAATAGAGAAAAATTCCAATTTTTCCAAGACACGGTGCAGTTTGGGGGCCTCAAATAACATCTTCTGGTGTAACCCTTCTAAATCCATGCTGGAGGCAATATTAAGCTTCCGAATACCAAAAACACTCACCGATGCCAGATCATGGTTTGGGCTGGTCAACCAAGTCGCTTGGGCATACTCACTAAGCCCAGTCATGCTTCCATTTCGTGATCTCGTAAAACGAGACTCACACTTTACATGGAATAAAAAGCCTTGAGGATGCATTCCAGCATTCAAAGAAGGTCATAGTTGACTTAGTCCGAAAAGGCATCGCAACATTTCAAAAAGAAAGAATAACCTGCCTTGCCCCAGATTGGAGCAAAGACGGAATGGGCTTCCTACTTCTGCAGAAGTATTGCTCATGCACCACTGACAAAAGCCCCAGTTTGCTGCCCTGAAGGTTGGCGTCTGATATTTGCTGGTAGCAGATTCTGCATTGATGCTGAACGCAGATATGCACCTATTGAAGGCGAAGCAGCAGCAATTGCATGGGCATTGGAAAATGTCGGATTTTTGTAATGGGTTGCCCGAATCTCATAGTGGTTACAGATCATGAACCACTAAAAGGATTATTCGGAGATAGAGACCTTAGTAAAATCCAAAACCCCGATTATTCAGGTTAAAGGAGAAAACCCTCAGGTACAGATTCACCATTCAGCACTGCCCTGGGAAATGGCACAGAGCCTCCGATACTGTCTCTCGTAACCCAGCAGACATCTCACAGGCACTCCTAAATGTATTCACTGCTGAACCCTCTCAATCAGACATCATAGAGTCTGACAACATGGATGACTGGGTCAAATCAACAACCTTATTAGCAACATTCGGTGCAAATGACAACCTGGAGCTCATCTCACCAGACGTTATCCGTACGGCGAGACGCAGCGACCCGCAATACAAAAAATTAATTGAAGTAATACAAAACGAATTCCAAAGGACGCGCCTCCTCACTGCACCTGAAATCCGCGAATATTGGGAAGTGAGGCACCGCCTAAGTGTTGACGACGGGTTAGTGCTCTTAGATCAAAGAATCGTTATCCCCACCTCACAACGCACAAAAATATTACATAGCCTACATTCTGCACACCAAGGCGAAGTTGGCATGAAGGCAGGTGCCAATGAATCTGTTTATTGGCCCGGGATGAATGCTTCAATTCGTAATATTAGAGCAGGTTGTACGTTCTGCTCAAAAATTGCCCCGAGTCAACCAAAAGAGCCAATCAATTTGACACCATCTCCTGATTGGCCATTTCAGCAAATCGTCATGGACATCTTCCATGTTGGGAACCATGGTTACTTAGCATGCGCTGACAGGTTAACAGGCTGGCTGAATCTATACCACTTGAGCCACGGAGAAGCTAATGCCTCAAGGATTATTTCGAATGGCCGAGACATATTTCAAACCTACGGCGCTCCTGAGGAACTCAGCAGTGATGGTGGGCCACCCTTCACATCTCTTCCATTCAAGCAATTTTTGCAAGACTGGGCTGTTAAAAAAGGTTATAATCTGCTGGTTATCCACAATTCAATGGTCGAGCAGAGCTCGCTGTCAAAACAGCCAAGAGAATCGTAAATGGCAACATAGGAGCCCAAGGATCGTTGGATAATAACCGTGCAGCAAGAGCCATCCTCCAATACAGGAATACGCCCATTCAAAACATTGGGCTATCCCCTGCTCAACTACTACTCCACCGCCGACTACGTGACTACATACCATCACACCCCACACTCTATAAGCCACACGCGAATTGGATAACCGCAGCCCAAAATCGTGAGATAAGTCTGTCCCGGCGGAACGCTCGTCTCATAGAGCGATACAACAGAACAGCACACACTTTAAACCCCCTTCAAAAAGGACAAATAGTGGCACTACAACGACCAACAACCCGCCGATGGGACACAACAGGTCAGGTCATTGAAACCCTCCCCAACCACCAATACCGTATCAGAGTTGACGGATCAGGTAGAATTACCTTACGAAATCGCCGATTTCTCAGGAAACTGGATACACCAACAATTCCAGTTCCAAGACCTAGTGCATTACCTGAGACCCCTACACCAGTGCAACAAACATTCGACGCTGGAATAACATCAAACATTGCTCAGCCGTCTACAATAACACGGACAAAAACCCCTCGGGCATTGTCCAGACTACTTCCGCACAACCAGCCAGGTTTAAAGGAACTCATCCCTCCCCAAAGGCCACTACCCACACGCGATGGGGGGGAAGGAGATGTAGAATAACAATAATAAAAAGCACTTACCGGCGTAAGGGTCCCAACTAGCGTCCAGCTGGCAGACAAAAATAAAGCAGGTTGTAACTTAATACAAACCCTGCAAACTAAATGAGAAATCATGATAGTATTTATATAGTAATACTTCCACTCAGGTACCAGCAGCCAATCACAGCCCAAGCAATGGACTATCCCACTTTAGCATAATGAGATGCTCCATTGTACCATAAATATCTCTCTGTCTCAATGTTGAATTAGTATTCACTCAGCTTGCTCTACAACTGAGTGTTTATCTTGACCACGATTGTGTGGGTATGGAAACTTTGGTATATCATGACTGTTTTTATATATGTAAGTATGTGTGCATAAAAATCTGTGTATATATGTGTGTATTTAGGTTTATATGTATATGTGTGTGCATGTGTACTTGTTATCATAGATATGTATATGTGCGTATATGTTTATGTTTATATATTTATTTGTATGTATTTCTGTATGTATATGTATGTATGACTGTATGTTTATGTGTGTTAATTTGTGTTTGCTGCCGCGTATATATATATATATATATATATGTATCTGTCGGTTTCTTTATCCTGTTTTTCTTTGCCTAATATATAATGAAACTATTATCAACTTATATGATTAATATATATTTTTATTGATATTTATGGTTTTGGAATTTTCGTTTTAATATATTAAATAATATTATTTTTAAACATTTTTATCTTTGTATATTTGCTCCCTTAAGTTATAATTTAATAAGTGGTTAGCATTTATTCAATGATACTTTAATATATATATACAAACAAACGAAATTCATTTTAAAACTAATTATTTGTATCTGCTTTAAGCAGTGTCGAGACGCATTTATTTTGTCTATTCAAAAGATTAAAATATTCTTTCTATCTCATTATCTGACAAGGATAAATAACATCTTGTTTCTATTACCAAAATTGTATAAAGCTTTGAAAATAATTACAGATTCTCATGAATTGTCATGCATATACGTCCTTCTTCCAGACTTGGTCTTGTTCCATTTGAACAGTTTCTCCCTCACACACTCATCTCAGTCAATCAATGTGAGGGTCAGTCACGAAATGCTTTTCAAGATAACAAAAGAGGTGACAGTTTCAAGGCAAACGAAATTCTATAGGAAGCGTGAGGGCGTAAGTGTGAAGTAAATGAGCAAATTTGACTGAAATTCGAATTATGGCTTCCGATTCCAGTTTCAAAGTTGATTACCATTAAGCCACACCACATTATCCAAAACCAGTCCACTGGTTTATATGAATAATGACGCGTGTGTATACTGTATCAAACACAGTTAATATGGGTATAACTTTGAAAGAGAAAAAATCGATAACATTTTTTTCTTTTAAAAAATCAATATTTTACTTTTGTCGCCAGCACAATTTTTCGCCGATTCATTGTAAATTTTCAATAACCTGAAATATTCTGATAATATCAAGGACACAAAGTAGTTTCCTAGTAAAAGGTTTGTAGATGTTTACAGGCTTCTAAAGGTAGAAGTTTCGTTTTATGAAAACACACCCTTGAAGGTTTTTTTTCCTGGTTCTTATTTTTCTTGCTGACGTCACCATCGCCTTTGAGATTTAATTATATTCTGCCATTAGTTGCAGAAGCAAAAATTGTTAAATGTAATTCTGAGCACAGCATACACGCGCAAACACACAAGCACGCACACACACAGATAAGATAGATAGATAGATAGATAGATATCAGGAGACCGGGAAATATATGAGGATAGAATGCAACTGATGTATAATGACTATGATAGTCGGAGATAAACAGATAGATAGATATCAGGGGACCAGAGACAGACAGACAGATAGATAGATAGATAGATAGATAGATATCAGGAGAGCAGGAAATATATGAGGATAGAATGCAATATATATAAACAGACTATGAGATACGGATATGAAAGGAGGTTATATATATATATATATATATATATATATATATATATATATATATATATATATATATATAGTACAACACTAATAAACAAAGGCTTTGAACTCACAAAAAATTCCTTGACACCAACTACAAAACCCAAAGAAACGTAACGTCGAACAAACTCTAGCATGTTTCAATATACAACAAGAACACTCCAGAACTATTTACAGAAATAACAAAAAATCTAGACAAGAATGACAAACTGAAAAATACACTAAAAACAACCAAAATAATTAAAAACAAACGCCAAACTAAAAATCTAAAACACATACTAACCTCCTCCAAATTTAACCAACACACAGTACAGTGTGTCACAAAATGCAACAAAAAAGATGTAGGGTTTGTGACATCATTATAGAAGGAAACTTCTACACTTTTGAAAACCCCAAAACGACATTCATAATAAATAAAAAATTAAACTGCAACTCAAAAAATGTGATTTATGCACTCAAATGCACAAAATGCAAGGAATTATATATAGGTATCAGCCAACAACTAAACAACAAGGTCTCCCTACACAAAAGCAACATAAAATTACTAGACCACAGAAAATACTTTGTATCACAAAACATCTATAAATGTAACCAGGGTGAATTTAAAATTATGCCAATATACCAAACAGACAATTATTCTTACCTACAAATACAAGAAAAAACTTCATAAACAAATTTAAACCAGCACTAAATAGACCATAACCCCACACGCAAAAGCACACAACATGCACACATAATGGCCAAATAAAGTGGTCAAACCACTCGCATCCATTCTCAGACACTCACACGCGGATATATGTGGAGCATAAATATGTATACGCATATTGCCAAACACAATAGACTGCTCACAGGCACGCACGCAAACCCTACACAATATTGGAAGTATGTGTATGTATGTATATATGTATGTATATGTGTGTGTGTATGTGTAACTACTAACTAATTATAATAAGACAGTATGTATGAATAGAGAGGGAGTGCGCATGTACATGCACGTACTGGTATATATATATATATATATATATATATATATATATATATATTGACAAAAACAAAACAGCTCACGTGCACACATGCGAACCCGACGCAAGATAGGAAGTGTGCGTGTGTGTTTTTGTGTATGTGTATGTATGTATATGTGTGTGTGTATGCGTATGTATGTATGTGTTTACATATGTGTATACTAATTTCTTAAAATAAGACAGTATGCATGTATGGAGAGGGAATATACGTATGCGTACGCATGCTGACAAAAACATAAAATATGGAAACAGATCTAAGAACGCACAGCGGCCATTAAAAGATATGAATACAGACATATTTCTCACTTTTTCTCAGACCAATAGTTTTATTATCCTTCACGCAGAACTTTTTCACTGCCAGTTCAAGGAAGACATTTGGGTCACTAACATGCACAAAAAAGAGAATGCCTAATATCGAGAATATCAAACATCGAAAAACATAAGAAAAATTAATTCATTTTAATAATATGTAGAAATATCTACTCTTTGCCTGATGAAGGTCGGGAGACCGGAAACCCGTGCAGCAAAATTATGGAAAATAAAGCATAATATATTTTTTTTAAAAATTCACATTACAACCAAAGACGTTTGCGGTTTCTCTCTTCTTTTTAATATACACACTTTTCTCTCGTTTGGAACTACTATAACCTATTCCCTTTCTTTCTTTCTTTCTTTTTTTCCTTTTCTTTCTTTCTTTCTTTCTTTCTTTCTTTCTTTCTTTCTCACCCCTCACTCACTCTCTGCAAGTATATGTATATATATATATATATATATATATATATATATACGCATACATATATATAGAGAGATAGATAGATAGGGTTAGTGAAAAGCTGCTGAATTATATACGAAATCTGTTGCCGATCAAACAGCTGGTGCTAAGAAATTTTCAATAATACCAAATACTCTGTCTGACATGAATTGATTTCTCAAAGAATTCATTTAATGGAACCGGATTCAACTACTGTCTCATACGACGCAATCTCAACTATTAACAAAAGTATAAATTAAACTGAATAAAAATGTTGCGAATATACCTGGTATTTTGAAGAGGTTTGCCTAAAATAAAATATTGATAAATCTAAAACAGATTGCTAAGTTGAAAGCCCTAGATTGAACTAAAGAAAGTCTAAAAAAGGCTTCAGTATTATTTTAATGGGTATGTCAAAATATAAGACAGAATACATGGTTGTTAACAAATGGAACAGTCCAACATGCAAATTACAAATTGAAATTTGAAGCAATAGAAATGTGGTTCTACAGCAGGATGCTAAGAATACCCTGAATCGAATATGCGAGCAACAACGAAGTTTTAGAGAAAATGGAAACGAAATGGCTATTATAGTTAAAATCTGGAAGAGACAGTTGATACTTTTTGAATATATAATGAGAAAAGAGAGATTAGAGAATTCGATACTCATAAGACAGACTAAAAGCAAGAGGGACTGAAAATGTATGTGTTTTCGCAAAAGGAAAGACATAACATGCGCATTACCAATGTGAGATACGAAAAGAAAACAATTGCACCAATTTAAATGTCTAAGAAGTGTTTTAACAAAAGAGGGAAAGTGTGACACTGAAATCTGAAGGCGCATTTGGATAGCGAAAGATGCCTCCCAAAAGCTAAGCCATGTATTAAAAAACAGGAAAAAATCGTTAGAAACAAAGAAAATAGTGCTGAATTGTTACATAATATCAGTCCTCCAATATAACAGTGAGTGCTGGACAATCTCATCACAGATGAAGAAGAGACTTGAAGCAACAGAAATGTTGTTCTACATAAGGATGCTGGACCGAACATGTGAGGAACGACATAGTTTTAGAAAAAATGGAGACAAAAACGACGCCTAGAAAACGACAGTTGACATTGTAAAATCACATAATGAGGAAAGAGAGTTTGCAAAATTCGATACTCACAAGCCAGATTGAAGGCAAGACGGACTGAAAATTATTTGTTAGATTTATCAGAGCAGATAAAGTTATTATGACCGATTGTTTTGCGAACGTTTTGAATGCCAAGTACCTGGGCGATCATGACACGACAAAGTTGTTCAGATTGTCTGAATTGCAATGACTTGGGAAATGCTTTGTTTTCCCCATGAATTTGAATTCCGTAGCCATTCTTTTTGAATGGTTTCCAACCAAGGCTAGAAATCATAGTCTACCCTGCTTACCATAGCTTGGGCCCCAGAGAGTAGAACAGATGGTTTCATAACGTCCGCTAGAGCCTTAATAGGAAAGTGAATGTAACAGAATCGATCAGAATTTGAACTCTGTTCCCCAAGTTCATTTTCCGTGCTGATAACTGTTAAAGTACCTATTCATCCTTTGACAACATTATCTTTCTTTGATTATAATGAATGCTTTCTCTAATATATATATATATATATATATATATATATATATATATATATATATATATATATATATATATATATATATATTTACGAAGCTTCTTTCCCATTTGTCTTCACGCTCCTGTTCAGATATTCGGGAACTGAAATTTAACCTTTTGACCTCTTGAGAGTACGAAAGAAATATAAATCAGTCTGTGGTTAGTAATTTTGCCTACCAATATTAGAACATCATGATTTCTCTCTCTCTTTCTCTCTTTCTTTTTTCTCTCAATGGCCATCTCAATTAAGTGAACACGTGAGTAAGGACCAAGTTTTAGAGAAGATGGAAATAAAAAAGACATTTATAAATTTGCATCAGAAAAAAAACAGTTGGAATTTCCAGGGGGCATAATAAGGAAAGAGAGCTTGGAAAATTTGACACTCACAGGACAGGTAAGAGGGATAGAGGAAAGCAGATCATGACCTATCTAATGAGCTTTTGTAAATGGATGGCAGAACAGGGATGAGAAGTGATAGCAAAAGAAAAAAATAGTTACTAAAGGCTACAAAGTATAGGAAGTTGTGGAGAACACTGATCCCCTACTCCCTGAAGAGATACTACACATAGAAAAAATAAGTGATATAAAAGGGTTAAACAGGTGTCATGGGTCCTTACCTATAACTACAGAATGAACTCTTCCTAACACTATGTAAGAGAGTGAAAGTGAATTAGAATTACTGAGAATAGGAAGGGTTGAGGAAATGACAAAAGATGAACGGGGTTCAACAAGATATAAGATGGCGATTGACGTTACATTTAATTTTTTAAATATTGTAGTTATCAGGGAAGCAAGTAAATTGAAAGAAGTTCCAAACGTGGGAAGTGCGAGAAAAGAAACTGTTGGAGTAGAAGTTTCAGTTATATCTAGCTAGTTCAACAGTAGAAACGTCCCTAAATCAACATGGCCACGTCCAAACATGAATAATGCCTACTTCTACGACACATACACACATACATATATACATTATCATCAGAATCCCCCATCGACAAACTAGAATTATGATAGACTTACACACACAAATTATACACATGAACGATGCATGACAAGTTAAATGCACATGAAGTCTGCTTAACTAATGGAAATAATTTTTCATATCTTATTCTCTGATGAAGCTTTAATAAAAGAGAAATATATTGGTTTTTTAAACGTTTCCTATTTGTCCTTTGTTCTATCGTTCTGTCGGAATACGATGCATATATTTGACCAGTATTTGATCCAAAAAACAACCAACAAATCACTAGCACAAATCAAACCCACGTATAACTGCAGAGCAAATAACGAATGTCACTTAAACAGCAACTGCTTGCAAAACAATGTAATATACTAAGCCACTGTAAAATCAGCAGATAACGAAGAAAAATGTACATAGGAGTAACTGAATTAATCCAAATCAATAAATAAGTAAATTAATTACGTAAATAAGAAACAAATTACAGAAATACGAATCCGCACTTAATCAAAAGTAAACGTAATAATAACAAGGAACAATAAATAAAATAATCCATAAAAATTATGAGTAAAAAAGTTAACAAACAACACTATAAAATAGCCGCAAAACTTTATTCGGATTCCCAATTATCTCAACTCCATAGCCTCTAGAATATTTCAAAGATAACTGCTACCGCCCACCCAAATAAGCGTAGACTAATACAATAGACCTACCCATAATGCACCACTGTTTAGCATGAAGAAATAGTCGATGATCTGATGATTGTGTTTAAGCATAAAACAGACTGTCGCCGTTGGATGTTGAGCTCAATGTCCATATATATATATATATATATATATATATATATATATATATATTCGCGTATTATGCATATAACACATATATAGTTATAGGTAAGTTGGAGTACCATCGAGGGTGGGGAGCAAATACATAATTAGTCATAGAATATATTATACCGTAGAAATATATATCTATATATACATCTATATCGATTATATATATCTATATATTATATATGATTATTATATATACATACATACATATATATATATATATATATATATATATATATATATATATATATATATATATATATATATATACCCATGGAATATATATATATACGTATTCGCTTACGGTCAAATCACGCTGAAAACACCGGTACTCGTTCGATCACCGAAGTTAAGCATCGTAGAGCCAGGTCAGTACTTATATATATGTATATGTTTATTATATACATAGGTAGATTTTTAGGTTATATATATATATATATATATATATATATATATATATATATATATATATAATGAATACTAGTTTATTCGATTCTCATACTAAATTCCCTAATTAATGTATTGAAACATTGTTTAAATCTGTCAAACTCGGATCCATGAACATCTGTATATTTCTACTATCGCGTTATAAGTTTATTTATGCATTTAAGATAAAGCTCTAAACTTTTTGACACCAATAATTCTTTCAATGCAGTTTCTGCATCTTCCATGTACTGGAATATGTTTCAGCTTAAATAATTGTCAAGATGCAACTACTGATTCGATGTAGTCGCTTCACATCAAGTCAGTTGAAAGCCTGAGGCTAAGAAAGCGCAGTGTATTGATCCCCAGGATTCTATTGTCATCCACGGTGATGACAGGAGGAAAATGTTCTCTATGGTGGTTTAATGAAAACAGTTTTGTTTTGGAGGTGTTAAAATTTACAAGCCATTTATTTCCATAGTTACCCACTGTCAAACGCCTTCGAGATATCTAGAGCAACAGCTTTTGGTTTAAAAACTGTCAGGATGCTTGAAAAATTGGTCGTCAGTGTACGAAATATCATGGGCATAGGGTGGATGTGTCAAAGTGTCGTATCCGAAGTCGTTGAGATTCTATTCTGTCATCTTGGCAACGTGTGACCGAGCATTGTCATGATGCAGAATTGGACACCGTCTATTAAACTATGCCGGTCGCATTTTGCTTAACTTAATATGCATTTCATCCAGTTGCTGGCAGTAACCTTCAGCAGTGATGCTCTGGTTATCCAGAAATCTGAAAGGGATAACACCAATGCCAGATCATCAAACATTTACCATAATCTTGCTGTGTAGTTTCGGTTTTGGAAAGTGTTTGATTGCTTCATTAAGATCAAGACATTGAGACGATTGTTAGGATTGTCATAAAGGATCCATTTCTCATCGTAAGTCACTATTCGATCAAGAAATAAATCATTCGAATTTCGAAAATACAGCATCGAACGCACTTCAGAACATCAAACTGTTTGACTTTCACTGAGTTCATGACAACCCCATTTGTCATGTTTCTTCACCCTGACAATTTTCTTGAGACGGTCGGATATTGCTGAAATGTCTTGATGTGGTTTTTGTTCGACTTACAGATGGGTTGCCAAAAGTGATATCAGAACTCATTACTCCCCTAACCAATATAGTTTTTACACACAAAGCTGGTATCCATGGAAGGGCTACGATTCATAAACCTCTTATCATAAAGTCGAACGCCAATTTGAAAAAAAAAAAAACATGTTGTGATGATCACAAAAATTGAACAATCGGGGAATGTAAAAACGTTATTTGTTCTGATGTGTCTTCTTTCATGTGATTTCCTACCAACTGAGTGTGTATGTCTGGTGAACACAGCCTGGGCCTATGGGCCGTATTGCACAGAGACGACCTTCAAACATGGAGGTGGCTAAGCAATGATTTTGGTATTCTTCAGTTCCAACCATCATTCTTAATGGTGAAATTACTCCAAATAAATATCTTGACATTCTCAATGACAATGTCCTTACAATGGCTGTTTCCAGAATGTGCCATATTCCAAGATGATAATTCCCCCATACACACAAAAAAGTGAAGTCAAGATTTAATGAGCATCGTAACGTAATTAAACATCTTCCATGACCAGCACCTGATCTCAACATAATTGAAACATTATGGAGAGTTCTAGAGCAGACATTGAGGAACAGATTTCCTCTTCCATCGTCGCTGATGCAACTTTCGGAGATTTTGATTGAAGAATTAGATAAAATCCAACTGGAAACAATTCCAAACTTATTTGATTAAATTTCACATAGAATCAAAGCAGTTTTAGAAGCTCATGGAAGTGCAACATCTTATTCCTTAATAAATAAATGTGTGTAAGCCAGGTTTTCTCATTATTTATCTAACCCATATATATATATATATATATATATATATATATATATATATATTTAATCCCAAACAAGGCTGGAAGCTAATGGAAGTGCAATAGAATGAGAAAACATTACTCAGAAGAAAGAACAATAAAATAACACGTATTTACATTTACGTTTTTGAAGATTGCAGATATCAGGTAAGCAATAAGTCGCAAGAGATTTCCACAGGTGAGAATGCGAGAAAAGAAGCTATTAAAATAAAAATTACAGTTAAATCTAGATAATTCAACAGAAAAAAACAAACAAAAGAAAACATCATGAAAGAGTAATAGTGAACGAAAACCAAAGTTGACTGAAAGAGTGCGATAAGATTTAAAACGAATTGTAGCAAAATGTCATAAAACTACTGTAGCAAAAAACTACTGAACATTCTCAATGACAATGTCCTTACAATGGATACCATAGTGTTGCCAGAAAGTAACATTTTCCAAGTTGATAATGCACCCATTCACACTGTAAAAAAAGTGAAGTCATGGTTTAATGAACATCATAACATAATTAAACATCTTCCATGGGCAGCACAATCACCTGCTCTCAACATAATTGAACCATTATGAGGAGTTCTACAGCAGACATTGAGGAACAGATTTCCTTACACATCGTTACTGAGGAAACTTTCCGAGATTTTGATTGAAGAATGGGATAATATTCAACTAGAAACAATTCAAAACTTATCTGATTCCATTCCACGTAGAATCAAAGAAGCTAATGGAGGTCCTACACATATTTTCCCATCCCACAAAACATTTAATATCTAAAATACCACTAAACTGACTTTCTTTTCTGTAGGTTTTCAGATAAATCGTTTAGCCATTTTGACACCACTTGTAAGAATCACTGAAAAACCCTTTGAGTTATTCATCTAAAAATAGAACAGGTTAGAATCTTTTTGTGTCAGCCGCACTGTCTTCCCAACTAATCAATGTTGAGAGGAAAAAGATCTACCAGGTCTTCCTTAATGCTACCAACATTCGTACAAATATTAAATATGATCACGTCGTCGTCACGTGGGCGATGTTGTGAAAACGTATTCGAAGATGATTTCCAAATATTAATATATTAAAAAAGTCGGAACGCTGATCTTATATAAAAATTTCAGTTATCTGTTTGGATTAGTTGTGCTCTTATGTCCATCGTCTTTTCGTGTTGAATTTTTATATGTTCTAATGTTAATTATGTTTAAATGAAAATGTCCTGAAGATGGTCTAAAATAGACCGAAACGTCCGACGTTGACTTTATATTAACATTAATACAGCATAATTGCATATTAAGATTTTTGTTTGTTTTTTCTGTATATTTTTCTTCATACTGTCGGATCTATATCCATATATTTGCTTACATATATATATATATATATATATATATATATATATACACACGGTGTGTTTAGGCAGAAATTTTTCAAATATTCACAAAAACAGTAAACGTTCTTTGTTGATTAATCTAGCCACTTCAGTATTACTAATTATTTTTCTGCATTTCAGATCGTATTTGTAAATACAACTTCGTGTCAAAGTACTTTTTGCTAATCGTATCTATTTTCACAGACTTTCTTTTTGTTTGTCATTTCGTTAGCGAAACGCGATATTTGAAATTAAAAATAAATAATGAGTAAACATTGGAAAAGTAAATTAAAAAAAATCAACATCGAACATTCGTTTTTTTTTAATCAAGCATGTACACACACACACACACACACACACACACACACACACACACACACACACATATATAAATATATATATATATATATATCTATATATATATTGATAATAAGAAGACGGAGACTTTAATTATCCATTTTGTTTATAATTTTTATTTCATGAAAAGCGAGATGTTCATCTTATCAGAACGAAAACCTAGTCCGCGAATGGAGAAATTACACCGGACGGGCACTTTAGCTTGGTAGTGGGAAGGGAAGTTTATAGAATGGGGTTGGTTAAAGATTGAGCTTAGAGATTGGGGTCGGTTTCCTCAACGAAGAATTTACTATACACTTTTTGGGATTTTAATATTGGTTTTTATGTTACTCAGGCCGATACCGTCTGTTGGTTTTTATGTAGGATAAATCAGATCGATTCAAGTTAATTTAATTGAATGGATCTTAATCTAAATAAAATAAAAGTCGGTGTTACTATGGTAAAACTTAAGCATTTGTATTTTGGCTGAAGTCTTATAATCATTGGAGACATTTATAGAAGGAGAGGAAGGGTTGGGGAAGAGGAAAGTGCGAAGAGAAAGGCAGGGGAGTGGTAGCTTCAGCAGCCTGCCCTGCTTAGATATTTCTTAATTTTTGGAAATATGTAAATGGGTTTATATCCTGGGTTGATTGTTATGAGGTGGTCCCTAGTACAAATAATAAATAGAAATCACAATAACATGTCAGATATAATAGGTGGATGCAGTAAAGGACTTTGGAGAATTAATAGGCATCGAAAAAACAAATACTAAACTTAAGAAGAAAGCGATGGATTATGGAATGTCTGATGGTCAGTGGAGACATTGAGATGAGAGGAACATAAGAGTGGGATATAGAGGGAGTGGGAGGCTTGGAGAAAAAGATGGCGAGAAGGAAAATGCGGGGTAGTGGTAGCTTAGCAGCTTGATCTGTCTAGATATCTCTTAACTTTTGGAACTATGGGTTTATCCAATGGGTTAATTGTTAGCAATAGTCACTGGTACAGTTTATAACAGGAACCACTATAACATTAGCTGGATGCGCCAAATAACTTTAGAGAATCAAGAGGCGAATAGACATTCAAAAAGAAATACTAAACTGAATGAAGAAGCTATGGATTATGGAAATGTTATAAAATGTGTTAGTTTGGAAACATAGGTAAGCAAGTTGTACCTCGGCAAGACAGTCTTAGGTCCCACATGTATGTAGAAATTCGCAAATAGGTGAACGTATTTACTCATAATGCATAGACAAAATAAATGAATATATAATTAATAAATAAAATTACAAATTTCTGGAAATTAACGTTTTTAAGGCAA